CTGTATCTCACTGCAACTTGACCATGCCTCATGTTGGTTGCATCATTAAGAGTTTAAGACAATGGCTTCCCAAAGTCGACCTCTCCTTTAGTTAGTTGCATAGTCAAGAAGATTGCTCCACAACTCAATCATGTCTCTGGACAATTATTTCCTCAAGATGACTACTCCATCATAACAACCACTCTCATATAACAGTTGTTTCAAGTTGGTCACGTCGTCATCAAGACCACTCCTCAAGTTGGTCACATCCTTAAAATGATCATATGACCACCTCTTTGAAAAGATGATTATGCCCTAAAAATGCCCATGTCATTAAGTCGAGCATAACTACACAACAACCATGTCATATTTTGGATTTGGTCGAAGTTTGATTTGACCAATTTTGCTATTGGTCAATTTGCTATGAGGAGCTTATCGAAGGCAACGACAAGGTGCAAGTTGAGAGCATACATGGTAATGGTTATAACTTGAGAAAGTAAAAGAGAAAAAAGATTTTTTTCCCCCTATCGAGGTTTTGAACATTAGTCTTCACATTAAAATGAAATCCTCTATGACCATATCAAACCTCCAATGTGTTACAATCTGATTTGACCTAATAAGGCTGAACCCACTAGCTCCTCAATCATCCAATCTAATGTCGTCGAGCATCTACCTCCTCAATCACCCCACCTCTTCACTTGCCTGAAATGCCTAGGATAAAAGAGCATATGAAACACCCAATGTATACCAAAGCATCCCATTTGATCACGATGCATCCACCCTAACAAAAAAACCCAAAAGTTTGACATCACAAGGACATCCCATTGAACCGTGATGCATTTGCCCATGATAAACAAGCATTCAAATCGCTCGACGCATTCCAAGGTATCAAATTTGTGCACGATGAGTTCACCTAAGACAAAAAAAGCATTCGAAGTGCCAAATGCATCCTAGAACTTCCCGTTTTAATGCATCCGCCAAGGATGAAACTACATCTGGAAGTACCCAAAACATCTCATAGCATCTCCATTACATGGGATACACTTGCCTACAACCAAGAAGCTAAACCACTCGAAGCATCGCAAATTATTTCGTTAGCAATGATGCATCCGCTTAGAACAAAGATGAATCAAAAGCGTCCAATGTATCCTAAAGCATCTCCTTTATGTAAAGTACATAAGTGATATGGTTATTATTTAGACTAATTGGGACTCAACTCATGGAATTCAGTCACCGCTAGACGAAGCACCTATCAAGGATTTCCATTTCAAGTACGGGACCCATTTCGGCAATCTATCGAACCGGTAATATGGGTCTATACCAATCTACCAACACATGGTACACTAGTTGTACTAATGTTTCGACGAGGAATAAAAAGAGGAAAAAGAGGAAGGGGTGATGGAGGAACAGAGGAAGCAGTGATTTAAAAAGCGTAAGGCGCCAAAATGTGCCAAGGTCCAAAAACGCCCGAGGCACTCGCCCGAGCGAAGGCACCAAAATATAAAAATATATAATATAATTAATAAATATAATTATTTAAATTTTTAAATAAAAATATGCTATTAAATTAATCTAATAAATACAAATACTATTACTAGTATACAGTTAACAATATACTATCGAAAGAGGAGAAGAGTGAAAGGAAAGAGTCAGAAGACCGAGGGTGTTGATTGAGAAGAGCGGGAGCGACAGCTGCGAACGACGACAGTGGCAGCGGTAGCAGCAGCGATAGCGGGAGCGGCAAGCGGCGACAGTGGCATCGGCAGCAGCGAGCAACGGGAGCAAGAGCGGAAGCGGTGAGCGGAGACAATGGCAACGGTAGCAGCGAGCAGCGGCAGTAGCAGTGGGAGCGGGAGCGGAAGCGGCGAGCGGAGACAATGGCAACGATAGCAACGGGAGCGGCGAGCGGCGACAGTGGGAGGCAGCGGTAGCAGCGAGTAGCGGCAGCGAGAGCGACGAGCGGCGACAGCAGCAATGGTAGCGAGCAACGGTGGCAGTAGCGTGAACGGCGAGCAGGGTTAGGGTTGGGGAAGTCATGCTGATATCAGTGCTTTAGTTGGTTCAATTGAACCAACTAAAGCACCGGAGACCAAACCAGACCTCAAATGTTGGTTCGATCGCCTGGTTTAACCTAGGCGCTCACCCAAAGCGCCCGGCGCCTGGGCTCGGGCGAGCGCCTAGGCGGCACCTCTTTGAAGCGCGCCACCTGGAAATGAAGCGAGGCGCTCGGGCCTCGCCTCGCCTCGCCCGAGCGCCTTTTTAAATCACTGAGAGGGAGGCAAGAAGAAGGAAGAAGATGAAGTCGTGGCGGAAGAAGAAAGAAGAGAAGCAGTGGCAACGTTAAAGCGACAGTGGCAGTGTTGAAGCAACATCGACAATGTTGAATTGGCAACGACAGCAGCGAAGTGCACCGACAATGGCAAAGCATCATCAGCAACGACGAAGCGGTAATGGCAGTGGTGAAGACGTAGGGATAGCGACATCGTACGAGAGAAGAGGGCTTGCGAACTCTTTTTTTTTTCCTTTTTTTAATAATGAGTTAGACAAGCCCCACCATTTTTTTTATTTTTTGATTTTAATCGAACCGCTCGAAACGGAGGTGGTCCATGTATCGGCCTACAGTATACTGTTAACAGTATACACAAGGAGAAGAAGGAAGAGTGTAAGGGGGTGCTGACAGAGAAAAGAGGAGGCGGCAGCGGTAGTGAGAGCGGGAGTGTAAGGAGGCAGCGGTAGCGGGAGCGGGAGTGTAAGGAGGCAGCGGCAGCGACGAGCAGCGGGAGCAAGAGCAGGAGCGGGAGCGGGAGCAGGAGCGGCGAGCAACGGGAGCGGTGAGCGGTGACAGCGGCAGCGGTTGTGAGCGGTGACAGCGGCAGCGGTTGTGAGCAGCGACAGCGGTAAGCAGCGGGAGCGGGAGCGACAGCGACAGCGGCAACAAGCAGGGTTAGGGTTGGGCAGCGACAGTTGATATCGGTTTTAGTTGGTTCGATTGAACCAACTAACCAACGGAGACTGAACTAGACCTAAAATCCTGGTTCGGTCGCCTGGTTTAACCTAGGCGCTCGCCCGAAGCGCCCAACGCCTGGGCTCGGGCGAGCGCCCAGGCGGCGTCGCTTGGAAGTGAAGCGAGGCGCTCGAGCCTCGCCTCGCCTCGCTCGAGCGCCTAGGCGAGCGCCCAAGCGCCTTTTTAAATCACTAACAATAATTAACTTATCAATTCATCAATTGATTTTATCATCAAGATATCACATTTATTAACCTATCGTAACTTTAGAAAGGTTATATAAATTCTCCTCTCTTAAACTTTAATCTAATTTACTGTAGAAACTATCATAAGCTTTATAATTAGCCATGTTAACAATTTCTTGGCACTCTATTAGAGGATTTATATCTTCAAAAATTTTATTTAGCAATTGCATGTTAAATTTCATCACTAAGCTACCAACCTGAGTTCTGCGATACCATTACCTTAAGATTCTTTAAGAAATTTTTGTCACTCCTCGATATTCTACTTGAACTACTTTTCTCACTCCTCAAGACTATTAAGAACTACATTTGTCAAAATCTCATAAACAATTAATTTCCATATACAATCTCACAAACAAAATGTATAGACAAACAAAATTTATAGCCTGGTACCGTACCGTACCGGTATTTCGAGGTTGGCTCGGTAAGGTACGGTACTGGTATACCGAGCGATACACCCTAGTGTATCGAACAATTTTATATATTTTCTTCATACTGTAGCACTGTAGCACTGCTACAGTATAATACTGTAGCACTGTAGCGGTACCGGACGGTCCACGTACCGGTATGCCGTCGGACCGGTACGTACCGCCCGTATCGGGCGGTACCATTCGGTACTGCATACCATACTATTTCCAAAATACATTTTGTTTGTCTCTCTTGTTAGTTTACACCATGCAATTATAATATAACCATTTGTTTCGTTTCCTTTTACAATTCTAAAGATATAATTTGAAGCAAGGTTTTGAATACCGGTCTGTATTGAGCTCGGTATGGTACGTACCGGTATATACTGTTGGTACGCTAGGGCATACCGATGGTACACCCTAAAACCTTAAAAATAACTTCACCTACCACGCCAGGGCATACCGATCAGTATGCCTCAGTAACGATCGAAATCCAGGGGGGTACCGGTCGGTAAGCCTCAATACCGATCAAAATATTGGTACTGCCCAATAGAGAACAGTTCGCACACCGGTATCCTCTCGGATCGGTACGTACCGCCCATACCGGGCGGTACACATCGAAATTGAGAACCCTGATTTGAAGAACATCAATCTAATCAAGTGTAACCATCCACCCTTCAAGGAAGGATTATGAAATCATTAAAACCTCATAGCAAGAAAAAAAAATCTAAATGAATTATGGTCCACTCTTTATATCTACAATTATGAGATCGAGGTATGACAATCAAGAAGAAAGCTAGTTACATCTTGCATTTAGTAATTAAAATTCAATGCATGCTTACCAAAAGATATGATCATTTAGATTCCCTCCGATGAAATGTTTTTCACTAGCAGGTACTTGAATGATCCCAAGTGTTCCCAAAATTATGATATGATACTAATCATCTTGACATGTTTGAGGAACAATAACTACATATATTGGTAAAGAACTCTTACATCATCTATTTAACTTCTACATCCTTTTCCTTGAATTCCTGATCTATAATAGTGGTTATAATATTTCAATATTTTTCTTTTTATCACATATCAAAATTTATATCTACAATTCTCTTTAAATTAAGTACAACTGTTAATCAAAGAAGAGAATCATAGTGAACTGGGAACTGTTAAGTGTTCATAAAGCAAGACCCAAGATCAAGCAGTGGAATGGCAGCAATTATGACCATGTAAGACAGGAGAAAGTGAGTGATGCCGGGGGCTGCATTTTCACCAAAGGTTTAGTGGGATGACACTTTATTTCTTAGCATTCTAAAGAGTGGCTCATGTAAAGGAATAAATCCAAGAATCAATTTTCTAGTAAACATTTACCAGTAATCAAGAACTATTTGCCTAAGTTTTGCTTCCAGTCGAATGAACAATGGTGTCCTTTCAAAGTCCTGTTTGTCATGAGCAGGTTCCATAAAGTTTGCCTCGAAAACTCCTGTAAATTGATTAACATGAAGCATTTATTAAGAAACACCTATTAATATTTTTTTAAAAGAACACTAATTAATATTTGATGAAGCAAATTTCCACAAGGTACATACCAATAACACACCTCCCTCGACTCGAACCTTCCTGAACAACTTTCCAAAATGGCTATAAAAGGAAATTAAGAAAATAAAACAATAGCGATTAGAATTTGTTGTATATATTATTCTTAATCATCAATATTCAGATTCGAAAACTCATACATAAGCAATCAACATAAATATAGGGGAAAAAACAAGATTACATGTCTGTATAACACACACACACACACACACACACAGATATATATATATATATATATATATATATATATATATATATATATATATATATATATATA